GAAACCAGAATGCAAAATCGAGTCGGCTTGAATTCCAATATTCTTCCCATTGTACCCTGCTGCCTATAAATCTCTGTCACCAGGGCAATGGGACTCATAGCCACTGTTCCCAGCCACTGAGCCTCAGAGCTCACTAGTTTTCTTTCCCTTCAGAGTAGGGCTTGGGGCCATGTCAGTACAGAGCATAGATACTTTTTAACACTTTCTTTTGAGATAATCCTAGATTCACATGCAGTTGTAAGAACTAATACAGAGAGATCTTGCATATCTTTTCAATATATATCTTTCAATCTGCTACAGACTTGGATACTCTACAAGGCTGTCTTTACCCTAGAAGACTTCAGAAGCTATTGGGGAACGCATAAGTAAATAATTACTATAGCCCTTGTTAAAACAAAAATGCAATGTCATTTTCACCTATCGGTTACCAAATAATGATAATAGTAATGATGTCATAACCAAGGTATGCTGAAAGAGACACTCCCATATTTTATTGGTTAGAGTGTAAAGTGAGGCAAATTGGAAGGCAGGATGGCAATATGTATGCAATATTTCCATCTTTCAGCTAGTATATTTTGAGGCCTGCTATATGCCAGGCACTGGCCTAGACCCTGGGGAAAAACAGTAAACAGAGCAGACACTGTCCAGCCCTTCTGGAACTTACTGTCCTGTCTTGTTTATGGGCAGATAAGCTTTTGTGAGAAGTGCCGTTATAGGCATAGAGAGAGCTGTTACAGAATCACAAGTGAGAGGAGGTGAACTCAGCCTTAGGAGACTAGGGAAGGCATTCCTAGAGGGAGGATAAGGGGAGATAGCCTTCCATCTATTAAATGATGAACAGGAGTTAGCCAGAGGAAGGAGACAGGGTGGTGTGGAGAAAGAGTATCCTCAGCAGAAGGAACAGCAGGAACGGCCCATGGGAAGGCTCAAAATTAAGAGAGAATGGCCTAAAACCTCTGGCAAAACTACCTTAAGGAATAACCCAGAATACAAAAACAAACCAACCAACAACCTTTCAAAGACAAAGACTTTTATCACATCACTAGTTAAAAGAGTGGAATATGGAAAAATATCTATTTCGATAAAAGATCTTTGGTCATGTGATGGATGGTACACCCACAATATGGAATATTTTGTAGCCATTTAAAATAATGCTTACAGTGTTTTTTAAAATACTAAAAATGCTTATGTTAAAATGTTGAATGAAAAAGGCAGGATACATAATTTTATGTCTAATATGACCACAATCATGTTAAGTATACATATATAATTTTATATATATATATATAAAATTAAATGTAAGGAGACAAGTTAAAATATCGATAATGACAGTCTTTTGTGTGTGTGTGTGTGTGTATATGTGCTGCCGAAGCAAGCACAGTAGTCTTTTGATAGTGAGATTTAGGCGATTTTCATGTATATGCTGTTTTGTACCAAGATGTTTAGTCTGGAGCAGAGCCCAGCTCCACCATTTACTATCTGTGTAGCCTTGGGTAAGTCACTTAACTTCTCTGTCTCAGTTTCCTCATCTGTAAAATAGGAATAATTATAGCACCTATGTGATAGGTTGTTGTAGACATTATCATAGTACAGTATCTGGGCATGATACTGTTATTTATGTATGGATTATTAGTACTCTGTTTTATATTTTTAAAATTTTTCTTTAGTGCACGTATATAACTTTTATAATGGGAAAATCACTCTTCATTAACAGAAGCGCCTCATATTGTAAGCTAGTGGGATGTGTTATCTTAAATGAGAACACCGAGAAGGGACAGCTCCCCATCCTGGGGAAATAGAGGGATGTCAGACAAGGGTCTCTGAGGGAGAAGGCGACATCTGAGCTGACTTTGAAGAACAAGGACTTAGGGAGAAGAAGGGCAGTGGAGAATTCTAGACAAATGGAACAAAGACTTAAAATCTTAGGAATCTCAAGGCAGAATGGGGCTTGAAAATCAACCAGCCCACCTTTCCACCCACGCGGGTCTCCCTCTGCAGCACGCCCTACAGATGCTTACATGCACTCAGCCCGGATCAGCTGACTGCTCTAAGAACAAATCCATCCCCCGGTCGGACAGTTCTCTTTGTTAAGAAGTGTCTCCGTATGTGGACACTCATCTACCGTTGCACTTGCGTACATACACATCAGAGAAAATCCAAGCCACATGCCCACACCGACACATGCACATGTTGGGAGTACCGGTCACCTAACCGTGGTCCAGCAAAGCAAAACTCCTCAATCTACTTCATGGTTGTGGTGCTTGTGGCTTGACTCTGAGACTCCTAACAAACATTACTAACTCTAAGGTTTTTAAGTGCAAAAGCCATAAGAGTGTTAAAGGTTTAGGTTAAAAAGTGGTACATGATTGCAATAGAAAGAGAGGAAATTAAAAATATAAAAATAGTGATGCTTTCACTTTTTATCATAGGATAATTCATTCTGAAGGAAAAAGGTGACTTTTGGCACCACATGAAAACTCCTGTGACCGTACTCAACACAATCTAAAGAAGAGATGGCATTGGAAAATGGCCAACTGTGTGTCTGGAGAAACAACATCGATACTGTATGCCGACTGGAGAACCCTAGAAATGCAGTGAGCAACTCAGAGGCCAGGCCTGGCAGGAGGCTTTACTGGAAGCTCATAGGTCTGAGCCCCGTTGGAAGCCAAACACCATCTGCCAGTGTTAATCTATCGGGTGCAGACCTTGTAGCAACTGTTACCTGTCCCAACAGGTATGTTTGAAGCATAGAACTGAACCATATGATAAAGACAGCGCTACAAATCCACGAGGAAACAACAGATTATTCAATTAATGCATTTGAACATCTGGATAAAAGCCCAGAAAATAAAGTTGGGTCTCTACTTCACTGTCGACATCAAAATTAATTCCTGATGGATCAAATCCTTACATGAAAAATAAAACTATAACAAGTAAATTTTTTAGGAATGATAGAGAGGTGAAGACATTTCTAATAGAACACCCAGAAGTCATAAAATAAATATTTAACATGGAAAAAATCTCAGCAAAGGGTAACAGGAAAAATATTTGTAATTCATAACACAGGCAAAGGGTCTGTTTTCATAATATAGAAAGCTCTCCAACAAATCAGTAAGAAAATACCAAGAACTCAGTGAAAAATAGAGGAAGTAATATAGTAGCTCTTAATCACATGAAAAGATGCTCAATTGCATTCACAGTAAGAGAAATACAAATTAAAATGAACTCACACATCATTTTTCATCTATAAAATGGGCAGAGCTCAAGGAGTGTGATAATATACTCTCATACATTGATGGTTAGCTGTCAACTGGTAAAACTTTCATGAAGGAAATTGGGCATTATCAATCAAAATTACAAATGTGGTTTTTGACCTAACAGCTCCACCTATAATAATTGATCTTTCATGTATCCTGACACATGGAAAATAGTGTAGGTATCAGGTTATGCATTACATCATTGTTTATAAGAGCCAAGGTAGAAAACAACCTGAATTCTGTCACTATCAAACTACTAAGTGGCTATTTTCAAAATGAGGCAGATATTTATGTTCAGATATGAAAACACCTCTAAGATACATGGTTAATGGGAAAATAGCAAAGTGAATAGCATACTGTAATTTGTGTTAGTAATAAAGAGCTACTTGGATGATAGATGGAGACAGGTTTTTGCTTATATATGTTTAGAATATTTCTGGAAGGGTAACCGAAACCTCAGAGGCACACTCGATAGCTAGAAATTCGAGCTGGGGGAGAAATAAATTTTCTACCGTAACGCATCTTTGTACCTTTTGAATATTTTGTAGTGAATGTGTATTAGCTATTCAAAATAAATTGAATTCGGTAACCAATTCCTGCTTGAAACAAATCCCTTCCTCTTCTCTGCTACCTCTGTATTTTTCACTCACTTCTTTTGCTGTGCTTGCATATGTAAATATTTATATCACCTACAAAACCATGAGCAACTTGAGGGCCGCAACTATGTCTCTATCAAGTTTCCATCTCCAGCATCTAGCATCCAGCACAGTGCCTTACACATGGCAGGAGACTTTTTCTAAGTGATGTCTTGAAGAGTGATGAAGACTTTTCCCTTGGAAGGAAGTCTGGTCACTAGATACAGCAGCTGAGCGGGGCTGCGATACCCTAAGAACATCTACCCACCCATCCTGAGATTCCACTTTGAAACGTGTCCTTATCCTTTAAGAGAAGGGAGGGAGAGAGAGACAGAGACAGAGAGAGACAAAGAGAGAGAAAGAAGCTGAGATAGATTTAAACATCAGACTAGACTCCAGACAGTGCTGCTAAGGGGAATACATTTGGGAAAACAACGTGATCATGTGACCGGATGGGAAGGAGATGATTTGAGATCTTCTATGATCGAAACAGAAGACAAATGCTGAGAGGAAAAGTGACTGGTCAGGAGGTCCACTTTAAGCATTCTGTTGCTACCTCTGTCCCTGTTCATGGCGGATTTGCCTAGGGCAGAGGCTGCAACTTCAACAGTTAAGTGTCAAGACACAGGCATCTACATTCTATAGCAAATTCAGTTGATTTCATCTCAGCACAGGGACACTGGGCACTTCCTAAGGGCAGGGCTGGCTGACATTTTTATTAGCAATCATCTCTGCCACCTTCTGATTACCTACAGATTTAAGACCACGTAATCATCCCCTAGGTCACAGAGTGGAGGGAGAGGGGGAGGACACTGACTAAGAGGCTCTAAATCCCTCCTAACACTTGCTTCTTCCCTATCAGCTAGATTAGAGCAGTCAACAGCCGTCTGCCTAGGCGTTCAGACCCGGCAAGCTGGGCTGGGCTGGGCTGCCCAGGGCCTGAGGAGGGACAGCTCTGAGGGCGATGCTGTGGACCCCAGGTCTGCTGGTCCGGGCCGGTCTCTCTACAACAGTGCAGAGCACGTGATCCATCTACCAGTGGCAGTGAGCAGGCTGGGGACCTTACCACAACCAGGAGGGAAAAGGCAAGGGTCCACTTCCTCCAGCCATGCTGAAACAGAATGAGAGGAGGCGGTCTTGGGGCTACAGGTCCTGGCATACTACGGAGAGTGAAGACGCATCCCAGGCAGTGGGCAGCCAACAACGCAGGCGCATCTGCTCCGTGGGGGCCCTCCCGGGCTCCCAGACCAGCTTTCCACCGTGGACCCAGAGCTATTGTAGCTACTACATCGATGAGGACACGGATACCGAGGAGGACCAGCAGTGGAAGGACGACCTGGCAGAGGAGGACCAGCAGCCAGGAGAGGCCACCACCGACCAAGGCGAAGGCGGCACTGACGCTCCGGTCGTGTCGTCCACCCTGAACGTGAACGTGGGCGGCCAGAGCTACCACCTGGACTACGCCGAGCTGGCCAGCTACCCCAAGACGCGCCTGGGCCGCCTGGCCACCTCCACCAGCCGCAGCCGCCAGCTGGGCCTGTGCGACGATTATGAGGCACAGACGGACGAATACTTCTTCGACCGCGACCCGGAGATCTTCCAGCTCATCTACAACTTCTACGCGTCCGGCGTGCTGCTGGTGCGCGACGAGCTGTGCCCGCGCCGCTTCCTGGAGGAACTGGGCTACTGGGGCGTGCGGCTCAAGTACGCGCCGCGCTGCTGCCTCATCTGCTTCGAGGAGAGACGCGACGAGCTGAGCGAGCAGCTCAAGATCCAGCGTGAGCTGCGCGCGCAGGCGCAGGCCGAGGAGGCCGAGGAGCTCTTCCGAGACATGCGCTTCTACGGGCCGCAGCGGCGTCGCCTCTGGAACCTCATGGAGAAGCCCTTCTCGTCGGTGGCCGCCAAGGCCATCGGGGTGGCCTCCAGCCTCTTCGTGCTCATCTCCGTCGTGGCGCTGGCGCTCAACACGGTAGAGGAGATGCAGCAGCAGGCGGGGCAGGGCGCGGGCAGTGGCAACCCGCAGCCCTTTCTGGAGCACGTGGAGATGCTATGCATGGCTTTCTTCACGCTCGAGTTCCTGCTGCGCCTGGCCTCCACGCCCGACCTGCGGCGCTTCGCGCAGAGCGCCCTCAACCTGGTGGACCTGGTGGCCATCCTGCCACTCTACCTGCAGCTGCTGCTCGAGTGCTTCACGAGCGAGGACCAGGTGCACAGCAAGGACTCGCCGCACGAGCACGACCTCGAGACCATGGGCCGCGTGGGCCAGGTGGGCCAGGTGCTGCGCGTCATGCGCCTCCTGCGCATCTTCCGCATCCTCAAGCTGGCGCGCCACTCCACCGGCCTGCGCGCCTTCGGCTTCACGCTGCGCCAGTGCTACCAGCAGGTGGGCTGCCTGCTGCTCTTCATCACCATGGGCATCTTCACCTTCTCTGCGGCCGTCTACTCCGTGGAGCACGACGTGCGTGGAACCAACTTCACCAGCATCCCCCACGCCTGGTGGTGGGCCGCGGTGAGCACCACGGCCCGTGGGCTTTCCCACCCACTTCCCCAGCCCGACAGACGCTGCTTCTCCCCTTCCTGGGTCATGCCACCTGCCTTGCTTTGTTCCCTCATCTTTGCCCTGCCTTCTTTAACGGCCATTGCTTTCTCCATTCCTTCGATGTCCCCAGCTTAAACAAAAGATAAAAACAACAAAACAGAAAAAACAAAACAAAAAAAACGGGTAGGTGCTAAAGGGTTGGAAAGACATAGTCCAGTAAGAAAGACGTAGTCCAAGAAATTTGGTGTGGTCCTAGTTATCTCCAAATCTAGATTTAGTCTTAATACCCCTGAGAGGCTAATTTTAAGGAATAATCATTGTTCACGTTCGTGGGAAGATTCATCATCGTCACTCTTGTTATTTGTCCCTTATTGAACACCTATTGTCCTAAGTGGTTTATAAAGCGTATCTTATTTCAGCATCACAACCATGTGAGGTGGTTAGGATCACTATTGTTTTAAGAGGAACATTTTCCTGCAGATTTTGAAGGAAGCCATCCATGTATGCAGGGGAGGAAATGCGACGTGGCTGAAGAGCGGCAACCCTCACTGGAATCCCACTGGTTCTAGCTAAATCGGAGCATCTAACACTGAAACCTGCTCCAATGCCACAAAAATTCTTTCGGGACATGGCATTATTGCCCCATTTTACAGCTAGAGGAATTGAGGTGCAGATAATTTGAGTTATAATAATAATTTAGACACGCAGCTAAAGGTAGTCACGTGAGGACTGGAACCCAAGCCTGTCCAGTTGCAAAATGCATGCCCTTTCCACAGCCCAGCACTGCCTCTTTCAAGCTTTAGTATTTCTGCATGCCTTGCTTAATTTGCACTTAGTATATTAGTTATTTTTGTCATTTTCTTTGGTGTTTGCCTTTTATAATAGTTTATGCCATTTACTCAAATATCTGTGTTTCTGATATGCTAGACTAAATCCTTGGAAAGTCCCTGAATCACTGGAAATGCTGATCGATTGGGTCTTCTAAGATCAATGAACACATTGACATACGTGCATAGGAAAGAACTGGGCGTATGCTTTCCTTATTTACTTTAAATAGATGGTTTGTAATGCCTTTAAAGACATTAAGCAAATATAACCAGTTTTTCCTATATTAGAAAGTGGATATTTTCAACACTAACACTGGATATGTTAGAACCCACAGTCTGGAGTTCTGATATGAACCTACCCAGGGCTCCTACTAATAGTGTAGTATAGTGGAATGGAAGATTTAGATTTAGATTCTTGTCCCAGATCTGCTAATAATTAACGGGGATCCTCCATGATTAACTGTGAAACCTCACTCCCTAACTCCCTATCTTCAGTTTCCTCATCTCAAAAGGGGAGGGTGTAGAGCTCTGCAATTCAGTGAGTCTTGCTTCCCTGGAAAGCAGAGCTCTCATATATACAACAAGATGTGTGAGCTTTCTTCAGTGATGGGATGATGTGAGGCTCTTGCAAACGAGCTGGCCAAATGCCGCTGCTTTGATCATATTCCAAATGACAAGAGGTCATCCCCATAGTAGATAAATCATGTGTACAGACGGGGTTGATGAAGGATGATTTGTCCCCAGCAAATGCCATTTACTTTGGAGGTGAGTAAAGCAAGGAGGGAAAAGAGAAAATCCACAGGCTGATGATATAATACCAAGTTTTAGAGAGTCAAGTTTCCATTCGTCCCAGTATCTTAGAAGGCTAGCGTATGTAAGCTGCACCTAGTGAACTCTTTGATACTATATTCTGAATACACAAAACGTCTTTTACCTTTTGTATATTAATATAAAATTTTTGATAAGAATTCTATTCCTAATAATGGATTTTTCTTTTTAAAAAAATTCCTGGGGCTTCCCTGGTGGCACAGCAGTTGAGAGTCCGCCTGCCGATGCAGGGGACACGGGTTCGTGCCCCAGTCCGGGAAGATCCCACATACCGCGGAGCGGCTGGGCCCGTGAGCCGTGGCCGGTGAGCCTGCGCGTCCGGAGCCTGTGCTCCGCAACGGGAGAGGCCACAGCAGGGAGAGGCCCGCGTACCCAAAAAAAAAAAAAAAAAAAAAAAAAATTCCTTAAGTGAATGCCTAGTGATCCCCTTTACTTTCTTGATGTGTTTATTGTTTAATAACATTTAAATTTTCAAATTATCCCCCTTTTAATATTAACAAAAATTATCTTACTCAAGGTCACTGTTTTCTATAGACTTTACAATAAAACTTGAATCACCATTCAGTTTCTATCTATAACAAATTTTACTAATTATTGCTTTTACCAATGTGAATTTTCTTTTGTAGCTATTAGCTCTATCAGGCACTATTTTCACAGGCCAGAATTTACACATGTCAACCTACCATTTACCAACCTTAACCTTTACCAATGACCTTCATCCATTTTATTCTCTGAGAATTATATATACTATTAAAAATCATTATGGATTAAAGACTGATAGCTTGTGTTCGTTTCTAAACTAACCTATGAAAACAATAGGAGCAACTCCCGTTGAACATTTGAGGACTGCTCTATTCCCCAGGACCAATATACTATTAACCCAATTCTTCTCTATACTTGTTATGACATTGCATATTGTGTAGTAAGGGCCCTTATTTTCAATATAGCAAAGAGAAAAGAAGATGCCAAGTAAAAAGATGCAAAATATTAGGACCAATTCTTCACAAAATTCCATCTTCTTCATTCATTGAGCAAGATTTTTTTTTAACATCTTTATTGCAGTATAATTGCTTTACAATGGTGTGTTAGTTTCTGCTGTATAACAAAGTGAATCAGCTATAGGTATACATGTATCCCCATATCCCTTCCCTCTTGCGACTCCCTCCCACCCTCCATATCCCACCCCTCTAGGTGGACACAAAGCACCAAGCTGATCTCCCTGTGCTATGCAGCTGCTTCCCACTACCTATCTATTTGGTAGTGTGTATGTGTCAATGCCACTCTCTCACTTCCTCCCAGCTTACCCTTCCACCCCCACCCTGTGTCCTCAAGTCCATTCTCTATGTCTGCGTCTTTATAACTGTCCTGCCCCTAGGTTCTTCAGAACCATTTTTTTAAGACTCCATATATGTGTGTTAGCATACGGTATTTGTTTTTCTCTTTCTGACTTACTTCACTATGTATGACAGACTCTAGGTCCATCCACCTCACTACAAATAACTCAATTCATTTCTTTTTATGGCTGAGTAATATTCCACTGTATATATGTGCCACATCTTCTTTATCCATTCATCTGTCGATAGACACTTAGGTTGCTTCCATGTCCTGGCTATTGTAAATAGAAATGCAATGAACATTGTGGTACATGACTCTTTTTGAATTATGGTTTTCTCAGGGTATATGTCCAGTAGTGGGATTGCTGGGTCATACAGTAGTTCTATTTTTACTTTTTTAAGGAACCTCCATACTGTTCTCAATAGTGGCTGTATCAGTTTACATTACCACCAACAGTGCAAGAGGGTTCCCTTTTCTTCACACCCTCTCCATCATTTACTGTTTGTAGATTTTTTGATGATGGTCATTCTGACGGGTGTGAGATGATATCTCATTGTAGTTTTGATTTGCATTTCTCTAATGATGACTGATGATGAGCATCCTTTCATGTGTTTGTTGGCAACCTGTATGTCTTCTTTGGAGAAATGTCTGTTTAGGACTTCTTCCCATTTTTGGATCGGATTGTTTGTTTTTTTTGATATTGAGCTGCATGAGCTGCTTGTATATTTTGTAGATTAATCCTTTATCAGTTGTTTCATTTGCAAATATTTTCTCCCATTCTGAGGGCTGTCTTTTCGTTTGTTTTATAGTTTCCTTTGCTGTGCAAAAGCTTTTAAGTTTCATTAGCTCCCCTTTGTTTATTTTTGTTTTTACTCCACTTCTCTAGGAGGTGGGTCAAAAAGGATCTTGCTGTGATTTATGTCATGAGTGTTCTACCTATGTTTTCATCTAAGAGTTTTATAGTGTCTGGCCTTACATTTAGATCTTTAATCCATTTTGAGTTTACTTTTGTGTATGGTGTTAGGGAGTGTTCTAATTTCATTCTTTTGCATGTAGCTGTCCAGTTTTCCCAGCACCACTTACTGAAAAGGCTGTCTTTTCTCCATTGTATACTCTTGCCTCCTTTATCAAAGATAAGGTGACCACATGTGCATGGGTTTATCTCTGGGCTTTCTATCCTGTTCCATTGATCTATATTTCTTTTTTTTGTGCCAGTACCATACTGTCTTGATTACTGTAGCTTTGTAGTATAGTCTGAAGTCAGGGAGCCTGATGCCTCCAGCTCCGTTTTTCTTTCTCAAGATTACTTCAGCTATTCGGGGTCTTTTGTGTTTCCATACAAATTGCAAAATGTTTTGTTCTAGTTCTGTGAAAAATGCCTTTGGCAGTTTGATAGGGATTGCATTGAATCTGAAGATTGCTTTGGGTAGTATAGTCATTTTCACAATGTTGATTCTTCCAATTCAAGAACATGGTATATCTCTCCACGTGTTTGTATCATCTTTAATTTCTTTCATCAGTTTCTTACAGTTTTCTGCCTACATGTCTTTTGTCTTCTTAGGTAGGTATATTCCTAGATATTTTATTCTTTTTGTTGCAATGGTAAATGGGTGTGTTTCCTTAATTTCTCTTTCAGATTTTTCATCATTAGCATATAGGAATGCAAGAGATTTCTGTGCATTAATTTTGTATCCTGCTACTTTACCAAAATCACTGATTAGCTCTAGTAGATTTTTGGTAGCATTTTTAGGATTCTCTATGTATAGTATCATGTCGTCTGCAAACAGTGACAGTTTTACTTCTTTTCTGATTTGGATTCATTTTATTTCTTTCTTGTCTCTGATTGCTGTGGCTAAAAGTTCGCAAACTATGTTGAATAACAGTGGGTGACAGTGGGCAACCTTGTCTTGTTCCTGATCTTTGAGGAAATGGTTTCAGTTTTCACCATTGAGAACAATGTTGACTGTGGGTTTGTCATAT